CATTATGGAAAATGTTATTTTTTGAGTCCCTGATTTTTGTAAAAAAATCAGGGACTCAAAAATCAGTGTTTTTCTCCTTAGCGGAGTCTGTGCACTAACCGGTCATTAGGGAAAACGTTGTTTTTTTGAATCCCCGACTTTGTTAAAAAAATCAGGGACTCAAAAATCAGTGTTTTTATACTTAGCGGGGTTTGTGCACTAATCTGTCATTGTGGAAAAGGTTCTTTTAAAGACTCAGGAACTTGACAATGAATGTATTCGATGAGATAAGTTTTTGAGTTTCAGACATATTCGAAAACGTGTCCGGTAAATCGATCCGGTCTCAGGTTCCCTCTTGGACTGTGCAACGCAGCTTGATGGCCAATGCGGATGCAGCATTGCGAGAGCCAGGACGGGATGGAGCACTGCGTGAGGAACGGGCATGTGTGGTTTGTGCTCGTAGATTCTGGAGCGAAGAGTTGCGTCCAGTTATTTTGTTCCAAGATCCAGCTGCTGGAGCTCCAGAGACGGTGGACGGAGAAGAGGAAGATCAGCGAGTGAAGAAGATTGCACCTTCGCAACAACGTCGACTGTGTCGAGTTCTGGGCGTACAGCGCTACCTGGAGCGTTGGCCACAGCTACAGGCCCGTCCAGAGGCCATTGCAGAGCTGAAGGCATCGGCGGTCGAGCATCCATTCTTGAAGGAGGAGCTGCTCCTTTTACATCGACGCCGAATGCCAGCTGATGTCAGGGACCCATGCGACGTTTGCCGAGAATGCTGTGGTCCCTTGACATCAAGCATGGTGAGCCTTCCTCGGTACAGCTTAGCCAATGATTTGTGGATCGGTCGACAACTTCCAGCTTTGAGAAACTTGGCAGCGGCCACCAAACGTTTGTTACCAATGGTGCGCACCTGTCTGCAAGTCACTGTTCTGCAGCCCGGTAACCTCGTTCGAGAGGAACGGCAGAAGGGCTTCATCGGCAACAGCATCTTTTTGCCGCAGGCTGCGCCCACAGCCATTCGAGCTGTCCTTCCGCCGCCAGAACAGGACATGCAGGAGTCCATTCTCTTTGTTTTGGTCGGCGATGGACAGAACAAAACAGCCCTTCAAAGCAGTGCATTGTTGAAGGCCCCTCGTGGCGAGTACGAATCTGCAGTTCGATGTCTTCAAAGCACTTCGCCGTACTACGAAGAAGTCACGCTTCGGGACGCTGGTGAGTCTACGTTGCAGGGTTGCATTTTGGAAACCGGTGTCAACAGCTACTTAGCCAAACAGTTGCTTCAACAGGGCCCGGCTGACGCACAAGGACAAGAGGATGATGATACCGAAGAAAATCAGGAAGCGGAACCAATGGAAGATGCAGGTGGAATTTTTTTTGTTTTTACAGTTTGGTCGTGTAGTTTAGTGTTTCTTCCTGACGTTTTCCTTTGCTAGTGCGAACTTTGAATGAGAACGGTTCGAGACCGAAAGTTGTTCGAATCCTACCGTTGCTCATTCGAAGTGTAACTTGTGGATTGGTCATGTGATCGGGAGTTTCTTTACAATGACATCGTGAAGTTTCATGTGTTTTTATTTCACACGGTTTGTTTTCATAGTTTAAACTTGAATGAGAACGGTTCGAGACCGAAAGTTGTTCGAACCCTACCGGTTCTCATTCAAAATGCGGCGCGTAGTTTTGTTTGACTGGTTTGTATTTTGAATGATGACGGTTTGAAACAGGAAATTATTTGAGTCCCACGTTTTTTTCATTTCAAGTGAAACCTGTGTAGTCGTGTTGTATGCTTTGAAGGGTGGCCCGAAGTAGCTTTGAAGAACCATTTAGCGCAAGTTGTTCTCACGACGTCGAATTCGACAGGTCACTTGGTGTCGAGCATCGTGGGCCTCAATGATGGTGAGGACGAGCAATGCAAATGGTTGAAAGTTGGTCGTGATATGCAAGAGCTCTGTCGTCGCAAGCCTGGATCCCGACTCAGTGTGGCACAAGAAGTTTGCAGAGATCGAGATGGCAACGTGGTGTCTGATGGCTCATCTGCCCAGAGTTCTCAACTCCTTGGTCGCGAAGGACTTCGAGAGCGACAGGCCCTAGGGCAGATCAAGAGCATCCAAAGTCTGGCGGCCCAGTCTGCACAGAGTCATCGGCAGGTGGAAGCGGACATGTTCCAAGTCCGACCTTCCAAACTGGTGGTGCCGTCACAAGGGTCGCCTGCTTCTATGTTTGAGCCTTCGACCTGGGCAATGGCATTTCCGGACTTGTTCCCCTGGGGCGATGGAGTTCCATTTCTGAAGCGAGAGACTCGCATGGATGCAGCAGAGGTCTTCCGATACCTGCTCATCCGCGAGGAGCTGCAGTACAAGCTACCGTCAGAGTCGGAGCTTGTTTCTGCCCCTTTGCCACGATGGTCTCTATCAGTGGCTCGCAGGTTGGTGGTTGACGATTTGTAGATTAGCATCGAGTTAACTCGTTTGTTTTTCTTTTAGATTGTGTTCCGGATGCAGAGCGTCAAGAGTTGAGTTACGTTTTTTTTTGGTACCGACACTCCGACACTCGCTCTTTTTTGTTTAGGTTTATGTTTGGAATTGTCACGAACCAGTGGAATCTTGTTAAGGAGACATTGTTGCCTGTGATGTACGATGTGCAGCGACGATTGGAGCTTATGAAGTCTACCAAAGCATATGTGCAGCGTCGTGGCTTCGCAAAGCATCTCAATCTCATCGCCAATGTGAGCACAGAAGATCTTTTGAAGGCAATGGCATTGCATGGGGAAGCTGCGGACATTCGAACTCTGATGCAAGATGCCAATGTAGATCCAGCTTTGAAACGTGCTCTGGGCGGAGTGCTGCAATCAACCGCCAATATCATCGGCTTGGAAGGACATCGCAGTCAAATTCGACTTCGTGGTCATGCAGCCGGTTGGCACTATGGCAATGCGCATCTTTTTGTCACACCCAATCTGGCTGACGTTCGTGCACCGTTGATGTTGCAGCTGCATCTGCAGACGAATGGCATTGCCGAAGTGGAGGCACAGAGTATTTGCTTGGATTGGGACGATGAAATCCCGGGCTTGCCTACGGCTGCGACCATGCGAAGAATCATTGCTCGAGATCCAGTGTCCCAGGCTCGGTTTTTCTATCTTATGATGAAGATCTTTTTCGAAGAGCTGCTTGGCATCGAGCCGACTTTTCAAAAGGAACGGTATGCAGTTGGATTTCCACGCTGCTTCGAAGATGGCATGGCAACTTCATTGTATGGTGGCATCTTTGGTGATATTGCTGCTTTGTGCGGCCCGCTCGAAACGCAAGGAGAATCGAAGCAAGTAAATCGGATGAGTTTTAAATCTTGTTTGCACATATATATCGTGGATGATATGCCATATGATCTCATTGATGTGGTTCTGTGCGCCTACCTACATACATACATACATACATACATAATTTGATACATACATACATACAGACATACATACATATACGCATACACACATGATATATGTTTGCTTTGGATACCGATTGTTCGAGGTCGGTAGTTGTTCGATTCCGGGAACGTAAGATTCACTGATGAAGTAAAAAATACTAGTGACTGTCAGGACGTGGATCCATGCATCCACATATCCTCATCGTCTTGCTGGGTCATGACCTCATCAGTCGTGTGCACACCTTGATGCGTCGCATTGGACATGGCGAGCTGGTGGTGGAACTGCAAAGGTGGAGTCGCAAAGTGTTGGAAGCTGCTGCGAAGATTCGCTGGGACAGTCAATTGGCTTTGTCCGATTGCTTGAATGTAGAAGGTACACCTTTGCCGTTTTCCGAAAAGCAACGCAGTGAGTGTGGCAAACAATATGCGGAGGTACCGCTTCAAGCAACGGAACCAGATGGTCATGAGATCATTGCCGATCGAGAACAACAAGTTGGTCCTCCACGTTTGACTGGCTGCTTTGCATCGCTGCGACCGCGATATCTACGACGCAAACTTCATGAAGAGTTTCCCCGTGCAATTTGGAAGACTGCCTTTTGTTCTGATTATCGACGACTGGTGATTCAGAATCATTTCCACAAGTGCACAAAGTCGTGTTTCAAGAAGATCCTCGACCAATTTATTGCATTTTTTTGCTTTGATAGAAAGTTCCTTTCGTAACCACCTTTTGGAGCATGTTGTGCATAAGTTTTGAAACTAGTGGCCAGAACTCAAACGGAAATATTATAGCGGTATATACTTGTGGGACTATATGATGAGACCATGTTGAAATACAAAAAGGAAGAACATTGTTCGAGACCGGAAGTTGTCCGAATCTTACAATTTGTCTTCCATCAGAAGTAGTAAAGTCGATGTATATTAAGACCTGTTTGATATGGGAACCTGGTAGTGAGAGATAATATTTTGTTTCTGTGGTGGAAAATTGTTCGAGACCGGAAGTTGTCCGAATCCTACAATTCATATTCCACCATCTTTATACGGATAAATGTATAGATGTATGGAAATAGTAGCAAGAGTTAGGACACGGCTTGGAACATCTTCATTACGATGGTGTGTTTTTGTTTTTGCCAGGAGTGCCAAGAAGGGAAAGCGAGGCTGTCGATTTGGTTGCTTTCATGTCGAACTTTTCAAAGACGAGACGGATGGGAAGATGAAAACACGTTGCTATAAAGGACGGCCTCGAGTTCAAGAACCTCGATTTGTTCGATTGCCTCATGAAACAGCCGATGTCACATTGCTGGAGCATTTCAAAAATGAGAATCCACACGTCATGCAGCCTCGCCGTGATCATCCTTTCGAGGGCATGAGCAATCCTGCAGCTCAAGTGGTCATGCGATGTAACGTGGATGTGAAGTATTTGGGTCGTGCATTCGATGCAGCTGATTTGGAGAAAGTAGCATCAGAAGTCGGTGGTTTGTCCGCACTGGATCCTCAAGCGTTGCCTGATACTGATGCTGAGCCACAACAGTCTACAAGTGCCTCCAGTGTTGATGTCCCAATGCACGACGTCAATTTGGACAGTGGAGATGTCGATGACAGCATGCAAGTTGTTCGGGAACAGGTGAAAAAGCGGAAGACTGCCACCATGAATGCTTTGGGCCCTCACAAAGATACTTCGCAGTTCTCGCATACCATGGAGCGGATTCTGATTGATATGTTTCGTGACATGGAGGATGTGCAGTTCTACACTGGTGAGTATGCAAGTAAGAAATTTGAGGTCTCCAGAAACTTGCTCCCTGAACTGTATGCTGGTGTGCAGAAGTTGGAAACAGAAGAGACCGAGTGTCTCCAAAGTGCCAGCATCGAAGAAGATGCAACTGCGCCCCAGGCAGCGTCCTCTGCCAACCTGCCTGGGGGTCAGCAGCAGCACAGGGCACTCAGCATCCTCCGACGCCTGGCTTTCGGCATGCAGCGATGCGTTGCAAAATCCAACGGAGAGATGGCGTACCAGCTTTTGTACGAACAGGAACAGTATGTGACGTTTGGAGGGTACAACATGTTCTTCCGCTACATCCCCTATGCAATCATGCAATGCCGATTGCAAGCACTCACGGATGCGTCAGCCGACCATCCTGAGTGCGCCGTGCCACCCCTCGATGTCCCGCCTCCTGATGCAGCGGCAGCCTTGC